TTAAAAAACAATTAATATAAGCAGAGATGTAAAGAAATACATTTTCATTAAGAAAAAGTATGACGGTTGACCCGACTAACGATTAGGTTGACTCACAGAAGAATTTGTGTTTCAGTAAACACAAATGGATCGTGAATAGACATAAAATAAGAATAAAATTTTAATTTAAAAGATAAAAGAAAATTAATTAGTAGGAAATTAATTAAGTTCCATTGGCCATCTCCGTTTACTAAACAAAATTTAATTAATTGGGCGGTCCCAATAATACTTAGCTTCTCCAAGTAACAAAGGGACAATAATCACAAAAGTCTTGGTTTGAATTTACTTGGACTCCCAATTCAATTAGTAGTACAAGTTTTCCCATTCTAATTATATATATATATATATATATATATCATTTTCATGTTAAAAAACTTTAAAATAATTTGGAATAAGTTGAACTAGTACAATAATATTCTACATTTTTTTGGACTCTGTAGCCTTTTTGTATTTTTATGTGATAGAATATATAATAATAATAATTAATATAATTAAAATGATTAAAAAAATACAGCCAAGCCCGTGGAAAATTTTGCTTTTTTTTCCTTACAATGTGGACAGCATTGAACTGGCTTCACATGAGTGGCTATATAGTAATTTTTCAGCCTCTCATGTGATATCAACATCGAATATTGATGCATTCTTATATGGGACAGACGACAGACTAATCGTTAGACGGGTCGTTCTTATGGTACCGTTTGAACAAAAATGTATACTTATTTTATTAAATGTTAAACTTCTGTTTATTTTATTTTAAAATTACGATATTTTTTTTAATGATAGTATGGATTCGTATTTGTAAAAAGAAAGAAAAAAAAAGTATATCGATCTAATAGTTCGGTCTGCTTGACCCAATACCAACCATGTATGTATATATGAATGTATAATAGGGAAATGCTATACTCCCGTTACAGAACTATTCCATCGAGATTTGTAATCAATCATCATGTAATCGTCATGCATAGTTGATCTAATTTTTATAAACCTTACGAAATAGATCCGTAACGGTACCGTAGAATCTCCCTGTATAATATATACATGCATAATTAGATGGCCAATGCTTTTATATATATAATTGATATAAAAAGTATCTATTATTGTTAGTTTGAGGGTACATGAAGGTGAGCTATGAGAGAGAATATGGGTTCCTTCTTCATCTTCTTCCTATGACACTCTAGGGTTTTTTTTTCTTTTTTTTTTTTTCTAACTTTTTTTCTTCAATAACAATTCTCTATCTAGAATCATAGATCATGTTTCAATATTCTCAAAACACCCTTAAAAAATCTTTTTTTTTTTTCATCATGAGCTAGTTTGATATATATGGCTCTTGAGCTCAAATTACTAATTTTATTAGCTTTTTGGATTAGATTTAATTTTTTTTTTAGACATATGGCTTTCATTATGTGATCCAAAAAGAGTCACATATATATAGCTAGAAAAAAACAATAGTAATTTGATCATCATGGGAAGCTTTAGTAGTGATGAGAAAAATCATCATGAGTTTCTCATCAAAGCAAGGCGGCCTAATAATTGTGGGTCGTCGTCAAAAGATGGTGAAGAGGATGAAAGCTGTGAAGACAATAACAAGAAAGGAGGCATAAGCTCGAGCAACAGCACGGTCGAAGAAAACGAGAAAAAATCATCCGTCAGACCTTACGTTCGGTCAAAGCTCCCGAGGCTGAGGTGGACTCCCGACCTTCATCTGAGATTCGTCCAGGCGGTCAAGAGGCTCGGAGGACAAGAGAGTAAGTGTATATACATACACACACATAAAATCGATTAATCGATAACTAAATAGGGGAGATGCTACAGTTCTGTTACGGAAACCTCGACGGAATGGTTCAGTAACGAGACCGCAATATTTTCCACTAAATAGTTTGTGAAAGAGTAGAATTGATTTCTTGGGGTTTTACAAATTTATGGATTTTTTTTTTTATATTAATTAATTATGCATATTTGATTTAATATTTATGTATAGGAGCAACACCAAAACTAGTGCTGCAGTTGATGAACATTAAGGGACTGAATATTGCTCATGTCAAGAGCCATTTGCAGGTGAGTAAATCAATTAATTAGTGAGAGCTTATATACAAATATTATTATTTCTAATATTAATAGTCAAGCCCTTGTAATATATAGCTTAATTAAGTAGTACTTTGTGCTTAATTAAGTAGTAGTACTTTGTGCTTTTGCATTTACAGATGTACAGGAGCAAGAAGATGGATGAATCTAATTACCATGGTAATTAATTAATTAACCCTAATCATATAATAACTGTGTATATAGGTTAATCTTTTTTTATTTTCTTCTTTTCCTTCCATTGTTCCTTAAACTAGAGCATTAATGCCTATATGTACAGGGCTGATGAGAGACCACAGGCTTATCGTGGAAGGCACCGTAGCCGATCGAAACATATATAACCTTAGCCAGCTTCCTCTTCTTCCAAGCTTTAATCACAGACAAAGCTCTAATAATCCAAGGTATATATAATTATCAATATTTTCCATAAATCATCCATTTAATTAATGTCTTAAACAAAAGAGTAGAATTCGATGCAGTGTAGTCACCGAGTTTTTTTTACCGTTAGGTCACATACACACACGTATCCACACGTGTGTGCGTGCGTTGATTCGATAGTAAGATTTTCGGTGATTGCATTGCAGTCAATTTGCCTATAAAATCTCGAAAAGAAGAAAAAGAAAACATAACTTCATCTTTTTCGATAATATTAGGTATGGAGATGCTTCATGGCACGGACATTGGTCGAACGACTCGAATTTAGGGCAAAATACGAGCAACAACAGCAAGATAACACGACCGAGATTTTACAATGCGCTAGCCGAGAAGATATTGGGGAGGCATTACTTCATGCCATCGGCAAATTACAATCTTGACCTTAGCTCCGAAATTCCTCCAACTGACGAAATCTCCACTTGGCGAAAAACTGGGCAGCGCTCGAAAGAAGAAGAATACCAAAATCGGCATTGTCTCGATCAACTTCCGAAAAACAAAGAAGCCAACGCAAGTAAAACGAGAGAGAATAATGGTCTCAAAAGAAAACTAGACTCGGACGGATCGTATGGTCTCGACTTGAATTTATCGATCGGCCGGTTTCAATCGAAAAATCGAGGGGAGCAAGGCATTGTGATATTGGATAATGATGAAGATGATCATGATGAAGAACAGCTTGAACTCTCACTGTATAAATATTCTTCTAGCGAACACGAGTCGAGCTTTTCGAAACTATATGGTAATAAGAAGATGAAAGGTGAATCCTTGAGCGACGAGAGCACGAGAGGGACGAGTACTCTGGATCTGACTCTATGAATTTGGGTGTAGTAGTAATTCTGAGTGAGATCTTGAGGTACTTGTTTCTGATTAATACTAATCAATATTATATATGCCATTGAGGTTGATTGAATTTGAACATTATAGTATGATTAATGTGTGTTTTGATGTCTCTTCATCACTTCTTCATTTCTTGTAGTTAATTAATTTGCTAGATATATCACAGTGTGAGTGTGTGTGTGCATCAGGTTGCTTTGTTTCCTTTACGAAAAATATGATTTGGTAACAACTTATTGATTATTTATATTTGACAACAACATATAAAATTAAATGATACAGAAATTGATGTATACTTCCTTTACCTTACTGCTTGTTGAGGCTAAATTAATATATAATCAAGTTAATATCTACAAAACTTGGGCTGTATTGTGTAATTAATTAAGAGACAGTGTCTCCTAGTCTTATTTTGCAATAAACTATAACACTAGTATTAATACCCATGTACAACATGGGTGTTGAGTGAATGAATATATGTGTAAAATTATTTATGTCTAATACCAAACCTAACTCCAAAGTAAAAATAATATAAAAACAACATCACGAAACATAGATTTTCGTCATGTCAGCATCCGAAACGCGAGAATCTGTCACTCAGGCTCAACACGTTTTGAATTAATATATAGGGATGAATTAATTTTCCATTAATATATAAAAAAGATGACATTTTATATCTTCATTTCCTCCAAATATTTTGCTTTTTTTTCACGCAGAAAGCAAAACGAAGAAACAATTTATCCCGATTGGAGAAAAAAATAAATAAATAAAAATGATATAAGAAAGAGAAAAGATAAATTGGGATGGCCCATGCAGGTTTCGAACCAGCGACCAATTAGCCAACTGAGTAAAAGTCAAATTGTTTACTTATTTTTTTAAGATTATCTAAATGACAAAAATAATTAAGTTAAAAATTATGAATGGCCCATGCAGGTCTCGAACCTGCGACCTTCGCGTTATTAGCACGACGCTCTAACCAACTGAGCTAATAGGCCTTTTGTCTTTTCAATGGGAACCATGTTAAAAAACTTTGCATTACCATAACAGAAAAATAAACGATTGCTTATTGACCGAATGAATGGCTGCTCATATACACTTCACATGCATATTTAATTCATTAAGTTTATCGAATAATTATTAGTAAGACAATTGTTCTTCTCATATACCCGTCAAGATATCAACTGAGGCTAACAGCTAACTACAGGTGAAAATTGATCTCGGGATAAGCCCCATATTAGTTTTGCCACATTGTTTCAATATCACCAGTAAATATTTGTACTCATTTCCTGGTTTCCAATTGGTTTAGTTATCCTGTTAACCGATGTGGGAGACTTCAAGCCTATGCTTATTAACCAAATGAATTTAAATGTTGTATTTGATGATCCCTTTCCTACAGGTTCGATATTTATTTATGACGAACAAATTTCTGTCTTCAGACAAAGTTTTGTTTTTCCCAAGTTCTTCACATTCTGTAGAAATGGAAAGGTTCACATAATCAATATATAAACAGAACGAAAGAATTTCATCATACAGAGGCTAAAATGTGTGTATAGTTACACCTCAAGTCTTAGTGACTGATCAATTACAGTTTATTCGCCATTTTCACACCGAGCCACTGGCCGGCACTAAACAGTTACACGAGAATATAATGCAGCCCCCAAAGACAACAGAGAACAATTAACTTGTCACCAAAATGGATAAATAAAATGCAACCCAATTTTTTCAGATATAGTAACATGTAAGAAAAAAAAAAAAAAA